AACTACTAGCTACCGCGTGAGCTGTAAACAACGATCTGGCGAAGAGTAGATGAAGAACCGGGGTAGATATACTGTTGGGTTGATGAGTTGATGGAGTGCAGCTGGCTTGACTGGGCAGGTGAGGTGAGTTGTAATTAGGAAGCCGGGAGGAGACCAGGTCGAAGCCCTGCCCACAAGATACACACACGGGACAAGCAGGAGGCACGGCCTGGCCGTGACAGAGTATCGTTGTTACACGTGGATAACGTTGTGAAACAGAGGCGAGTAACGTTACACGTGGATAACGTTGAGAAATGGTGACAGTTAACCCTAACCCAGTTAACATTGTAACACATGCTTGATGTTGTTAAACAGTCGCAGTTAACTTTGTAACATGTGGTTAATGTTGAGAAACCGAGGCGGTTATCTTCAAGCAGTAAAACCACTCAGTTGGGGATAGAAAAAAACATCGTGGTTCGCCTTAAAATAAGAACGCTTCTAACGTAACAAATTACGTCATTTGACTCAGTGGAGTAGCATCACATGTTATAATGTGGCGAGTAAAAATTACTCAACTTTTGGTTTCAAAGGTTCGAGCGTCACAGTCCCTTAAATAAAAGTCCTGTGTTGTTTGGGACCAGAAGGGTCATGTGACATTTTCAAATTGCTTGTTGTTCCCTGTTAATAGTCTAAAAACACTCTTACAAGAATCTGTTGGACATTTGTACTTGATAATTAAGTTAAATAATTAGTCAATTATTATAACGTATTACTATATATCACCACTGTGGATTAACATATTTATTTTTTGACTGTGTTCCAGCGCTTCTGGACACAGTCAGAAAAATCTGTATTCTCCAGTAAATTTCTTGCGATAATGTCTAAAACTCATTGCGTGAATTAAGACATTTTTTTACAATTACAAGAGATACAAGATTTTTACCCGACAACAGAATCATTCACCTCATGGGGAAGCTTAAATATAAATCACTTTACGAATAATGAATACAGTAAAAAAGAACAAAATGTCCCTTTGAAGAGTAGAATATCTCAGAGACGGAACAGGAGTGAATGTGCTGTTGTTGTTAAAAACTGTTGGTATCTCCCTTTAAAGCAGCTCTTACACGCGTGACCCAGAACCACAAGCATGTGGACTTAAACTCAGAGGCATCTGCCGGTAAACAGCCTGTAAACCTATTTCACCTCTGAAGTCTGTGACCCACATAAACTACTGCTGCAGCAGCAAGAGGAAAACAAACGCTGTAAACCCTTTTCTTCTTTTTTTAGGGAGGGAGGGAAGGAAGGAAGGAAGGAAGGAAGGAAGCAGGGAAGGAAGGAAGGAAGGAAGAGGGAATGAGCTTACCAGTAGAGGAGAGACAACCCATCAAATCCAGCGTCCTTTGGGAGGAATGGCATCGCACGACGATCCGAGACAGACAAAATAACAACAACAACCACACACACACAAACAAACAAACACAAGTGTTAGGGCGCCATGAGGCGGGGTGGGGGGTGGAGGGGTGGGGGGGGGGGGGGCGAGACGCGATGAGATGAGGCGGCGGCGGTTGAAAGAGGTCGGCGATTGTGATCAGAGTGAAGGAGAGGGATGGAAATCCGCCTCGACAGAGAGAGAGACACACATGCTTACCTTTACTCACTAATCCATGCTGATACCCGCCACACACACACACACACACACACACACACACACACACATAAGCACATGCACACACATGTCACAGAGGATGTAACTTTAAACATTTTCTGAAGACGCGTGCTGAAAGATTAGAGCATTATAGAATATAAAAAACGACTGTCGACTGTCTGAAAAGAGTTTCCTCTCTAGAATCACCTGCAAATGTTGTACAGACGAATCCTAAAAGTATCGAGCAGCACGCATGAATTAAAATTCAAATTTTTGTATTTGGCTGAATACACAATACAGGTTATGAATCATTACTGGGAAATGTTTGTGCGATTTAAAAAGACAGTGAGGGAGAAGAGAAGGTGAGAGCTGTGCCAGCTTTAGTGGTCAGAGATGTCTGGACTCAATCGGATCAGTATCAGCAAATCAAATCCTCATCAAAAACCTGATCCTGGTCTTTACTGAACTCGATTGTTGGTGCAGCTCAACCTGCCGGTGTTGCAGCACTTCTTTACTTTACGGCAGTGGATGATGATGAGAGCAGTTTGTTGCATATAGAAGAAATGATGACTTGAATAAATGTGTTTACTGCTGGCCCAGGTTCCCCTCCTGTCACGGGGCATGACGGAGGACTCAAACGCAGACCAGGCAGAGTAGCGTGAAGCAGGCATTTTATTAAACACAAATAGGAATCTTTACCAACACAACAGGGAGTCCAAGCACAAGACAAGAAACGAGAGGGAAAATCCAGCGGGAAACGAGGCAGGGCAGGCAGACGGAGAAACCGGGAACAGGATGAGCAAAAACTATCTCACCAACAAGCTGCACACAGCTGGTCAAGAAGTCAAAGTGACTGAGCCAGAACAGTTTCCATTTAACTCACTGGAGGAAGTGGAACATGTTGAGGACCGCCTTAAGGATCCTCAACTCTCAGCTGAAGAAGAGTGGTGAGTGTTTTTGTTTTATGAAGCATCTCAATCAAATCTGATTCAAATCAATCTTGATTTGAACTATTCTATGTATTAACACTGGATAATACCCTGTTTGATGAATGTATTATAAAAACATTCTGTAAAGTATCAGATGTTAACTTCTTTGATCCATTTTAGATTTCCTCCATTGGACACATACACGGAACATCTTGTCCTCGTGTTCAGTGATGATGTTGGAAGAGCATCAACTGGAAAGGGATAAATGGGAAAAAGTCCTTCAGCCAGATGGAGTTGAAGTCTTAGCTCGTGTTCAAACCTACAAATTAGCATCTTTCCCAGATCTTCTCCTAACGGTGCTAAATCACTTTTTCACACAGGGCCATGTAGGTTTGGATTTTTTTCCCTTTAATAATAAAAACCTTCATTTAAAAACTGCATTTTGTGTTTACTTGTGTTATCTTTGTCTAATATTTAAATTTGTTTGATGATCTGAAACATTTAAGTGTGACAAACATGCAAAAAAATAAGAAATCAGGAAGGGGGCAAACACTTTTTCACACAACTTGTATATGTTGCACTGAGGGTTCATGGGATTTTGTATGATCTGCTTGTGATTACAGATGCCGTCGAAAGAATCATGTCTCACGTGCCGCCACAGATGTTGAGATTGTGAAACACAATGAGGTGGTTCACCTGGCAGCAGACAGAGGAAGCTCCTGGAGGCGTGTCACTGTCAGCATCCTGCCTAAACATGCATGTGTTGCATGTGATGTTATGTCATACATGTGATACATGTGATGTTCTAAAATTCTTGTAAATGGAATTAATTTAATAAAAAAAAACATATTTTTGACACTATTCATGGTTACATTTCTTTTTTTCCATTAATACCTATTCACTGTAATAGGTATAATAGGCTGTAATGACCTCTGTTAATAATAGAAATGTGGTTAGCATCGTGCTCCGCTTTATTCTGAGCAGAGCCTGTAGCTGCGGATCAGCACAGGGGGGCGATGGCTCGAGGTGGAGAAACCAACAACAATCTGTTACTGCATCAGTGCCATTCAAGAAAAAAAAATAGATATGGGTCCGTGTACGTTTTGGTAGTTTTACCGTTGAGTCGAAAAAAGGAAAATACAGAAATACCATGGTTTACTCGTTTTAAGCGGAAATGCTCCGTCTTTCCGTCTTTGGTGTCTGAATTCAAGAACCAAAGTCAAATAACGAGCCAAATTAGTTTTTTGCAAACCGCTTTTTTGTTTGTTTTAAAAAGAGTCGCAAGGCACAACAAGTAACCCGGAAAGAAGAATATTTCAAAATAAAAGTCAAGGCAGTAGAATGACCGTATGCAAGAAATTCTTTCGTCTGTGATGCATGAAGGCAAATCACTGTCAAAATGCGAGAGCGCAAATCAAACAGCCGCGCGCGTATTTTACTTTGACGAGCGCTTTTTCATCACTCCGCGAGCAAAATTACCTCTTGCGAAACCTTAACCTGCTCGCTCGCAAAACCCGTCCCCTAAAAAATGTCCCCTTGTGGGATTAATAAAGTAACTATTTATCTCAATTCGGGGCAGAGATATAAATAGAGACTTGAATCGACATTATGACCGTCATCACCGACTATCAGTTTTTATCTCGGTGTGTTTTAAATGTCACACCTTCTCGTTTGGACTCGTCTTCACCTGTAACCGGTTGGTTGTATCTGTTTGGACCATTAACTCTTCCTGTCTGGCTGCTTTTGGGTTATTTCCATTCTTGAGTCCTCATGAAAGTATTTTGATGAATATAAAAAAGATGAAAAATCTAATCAACTTATGGCACTTCTCCTCACGATGTTCTAATGTACTTTAGACAAAAACGGATCAAAGTAGATCAAAGCAGAGGAGCATTCAAAGAGCATCGACCTCTACAAGGCTGTTTCCTCCGTCTGCTCACCAACTACATGAGATCAGTCAGCAGTTTGATCTGTTTCCTGAAAAACAAACCAAAGGCTCTTTGGATGAGGTAATAAAAACAACACAAGGATCAAATATATTCAAAAGAAATTACATTTTAATCAACTACTTTTGAAATTGAAAATAAAAAAAACATTAAATATATAAAATTTTAATCTAGATCATTTTAATTAAAAATAAATATAAAATGTACATCTAGATTTAAATTTTAGATTTTTTATTTCAAAAGAAATACAGAATTCACAGCATATCTATTGCTGAGGAGATGGAGACTTTATTACAATACATCTTTACATTGACGATAGTTGTTTAGATATAATAATAATCTCAACCTCCTCTAATGGACTTAGACACTCTGTAAAATGCTGATGCGTCACATATTAAGGCAACAACGGTAATCCTGTGATTTCAAAACTTCCATCATTTCTTCATTTGTACCCAGAAAGGAAACTCGTTGATGTCGATGAGTGTTTGACCTGCAGAGTCTCAGCGATGACGAAAGAGAGACAGGAAGTGACCCGCCATCGACCCAGAAACACAGAGAGACAGGAAGTGACCCGCCATCCACCCAGAA